GACCTCTGCTTACTGCTTTGCTGGCTTCTTGTCTTGATTCACTTCTCGTCCGGCTTTACTTGCTGCCAGCTGGCTGACCTACTAAGTAGCACCCTAGATAGCAGCCTGGTTTTCTTAGCTGCTCTCTTAGGAAGATGGAGTGTGTTCATTGAAAGAAGAAACATGACTGAGTGAAACATTTTTCTCCTTTTTTCTTTCTGTTTAACTTACACTATCCAAATCAGGAATTGGCAGACCTTTTTCCATAACGGACTGGAATGCAGTTATTTTAGGCTTTGTAGGTTTGATGGTCTCTGTCACATCTACTCAGCTCTGCTGTGGTAGCCTGAAAGCAACTTTCAATCATACATCAACTATGAGCCTGGCTGTTTTCCAGTAGATTTTTATTTACAAAAACGGGTGGTAGGCCAGGCATGGTGGCTCATGCCTATAATCTCAGCACTTTGGGAGGCCAAGGCGGGTGGATCACCTGAGGTCAAGAGTTCAAGACCAGCCTGGCCAACATGGCAAAACCTCATCTCTACTAAAAATTAAAAAATTAGGCTGGGTGTGGTGATGCACACCTGTAATCCCTACTACTCGGGAGGCAGAGGCAGGAGGATCACTTGAACCCAGGAGGTGGAGGCAGTGGTGTGCTGAGAAAGCACCACTGAACTCCAAACTGGGCAACAAAGTGAGACTCCATCTCAAACAAAACAAAACAAAACAAAACAAACAGGTGGTAGATGTGTGTAGTTTATTGGACATTAATTATACCAAATAAAGCTGGTGCAAATATAAACAAACAACAGGTGGTGGGTTAGATTTTGCCTGAGGATTCTAGTTTACTAACCTTGATTTAAGTTTTTAAAACTGTAGCTAAGGGACGTTAGAATTGTTGGGACCCTCAGAATTACGTGATTCACCTACCTTGTATATCAGAACCTGAGAAACAGAGGAAGGAGACTATTTGCTAAAGGCCACATGGCACATTAGTAACAGAAGTGAGAGCCTTCAGACCTTCATTCCCAAACTCAGATACGGGGGACACATAATTTTGAGAAATGTTGCACAGGATAAGATAAGAAGCAGGGATGCCAGTGAGGACAAGTCATCTGAGAAAAATAAAAAAGGTAAGTGATGAACAAAAGAGGGAACTTGGGTTTGAAAGTCCTCTTCTTCACTCAGTTCTGCTGTGCGCTGTGCGTGTCTCAGCAGAGTGCTGTAGCGTCTCATCAGGTGGTTCTGAAGTAAGCTATGATGCTTTAGATCATCAGCAAAGGGGAAAATATTGGACTTTTAAAATTATATGAAATAGTTCATCCTGTATCTCATTATATGAAACTTTTACCTTGTTTCATCTTGTCCTTCACATTCCATGTTAGACAAGCAGGAAGACAGTTCAGAGGATGATGAAGCTGAAGAAGGAGAGGTTGAAGACGAGAACACAAGTGACGTAGAGGTTAGTAATAGGGCGAAGGTAGATGTCAGGCTCTCTTGTAAAAAAGGCTTACTGTCTTTTTAATTTAAGTCTTAAAGACTTAGTTGTGTTTTTCCTCTGGCTTTCACCGTGAGACCTTCTGAGGATGCACAAGGCTCTTGTCCTTTAAGGTCATGTGGATGTAACAATTCACCTTGAAACCCCAGAATAGTGCTCATCCTTCTACAAAAAAGAAAATAGTTCTATTGAGAAATACTTTGAAGTGTTATCTAATCAGTAAAATTAAGAAACAGCAAGTAATGACATATTTCCTAATGGATTATGTACTGCTGTTAGAAATATTAGCATGTATTCATTTAAAAAATATTTACTGAGTACCTACTATATGCCATATTCTAAGTGCCAGGGATATAGCTTCAAGCAAAACAAAGTCCTGGTCTTCTTGGAGCCTGCATTCTAGTTGGAATACAGGTGATACACCGATGCACAGATCCTAATACTGTGTCAGGTGGTGACAGGTGCTATGAAAACAGGAAAGAGTAGGGAATAGAGAATGGCTGAGACTGTTCCTTTAGACAAGGTGGGTGGGAAACCTCTGAGTTAGAAATTCTACAGAGGAACTGGTGCTATAACCCTTGTATGCATTAAAGGTAGAATGCCTTTCTTAATGGTAACTTGACTACTGAAGAAATATGAAAAGGACTTTAACTTTTATATTAAAAATACTCCTTTCTTAAGTTGGACACATTGTCTCAGGTAGAAGAGGAGTCTTTGTTAAGAAACGATCTTCGTCCAGCTAACAAACTTGCTAAAGGAAATAGGTTATTCATGAGATTTGCTACAAAAGGTAAATTTTTTATTTGGTATTGTTTTGTATTTTCAATCAAAATGATTTATTGTGGAGTGAAATCCTTTTTTTTTTAAATAGAATTTAGGTCAAGTAGTCTCAAAGTTCCCTTCAAACTATAATATTCTTGCTTATGAAATAAGTGCTCGCTGCCTGAGCTGGAATTTCTGACTTTTTTTTTTTTTTTTTTTTGAGACGGAGTTTCCCGCTTGTTACCCAGGCTGGAGTGCAATGGCGTGATCTCGGCTCATGGCAACCTCCGCCTCCTGGGTTCAGGCAATTCTCCTGCCTCAGCCTCCTGAGTTGCTGGGATTACAGGCATGCGCCACCATGCCCAGCTAATTTTTTGTATATTTTTTAGTAGAGACAGAGTTTCACCATGTTGACCAGGATGGTCTCAATCTCTTGACCTTGTGACCCACCCGACTCGGCCTCCCAAAGTGCTGGGATTACAGATTTCTGACTTTTAAAGTGAATATATTTGTATACTTCTGTGACTTCTAGCTAAAGAAAGTGATTTTCTATTAAAACTGGTTTGCCCCATGTGTTTTCAGCCAGTTACATCTGAATTATGAAAACTTTAAAATGAAACGTTTTAATCTATTGCAGCAGGATCCTCCTGAACATTGCCAGTATACCATTAAGCTCTAATTCCCGTCTCATAAGACTTTTGCACACAGTGACTTTTGGCGGGCATTTAAAAATGTGTGTGTATATGTGTATCCACATATACAAATACTGTTTTTTTGAGAGTTATTTGAAGATAAAACCCGTCACCCCTAAATACTTGAATACGTATTCCAGAGAACAAGAACATTGTCTTTCACTGATAGCACACTCATCAAAATCAATGCATCTGACATTAATAGAGTACTGTTACCTAATCCATCGTCCATATTCAAGTGTTGTCAGCTGTTCCAATAATGTCGCTTCTGTATTCCCCACCCAGCCCCCAGGTCTAGGATCCAATCCAGGACTGAGTGTTTTTAAGAATGTCACGTTTCCTTAGCTTCCCTTAATCTGGAGCTACTTCTGTCCTCCTGTGTTTTCCAAGAGTATAGGCTTACTGTTTTATAGGATGTCCCCGGTTTCGGTGTGTCTGATGATTCCTCCTGGTTGAATTAGGGTTGTGCATGTGAGGTAGGCGTGCCATGGAAGTGATGTCATGTAATTTCCAGTGCCTCATGTCAGGAGCCCTGGGACACTTACTTGTCCCATTCCTAGGGATGTTCACTTTATTCACTTGGTGAAGGCAGTAATCACTAGATTTTTCCACTGTAAAGTTACTGTTTTCCCATTTGTGTCTTAAAAATTGATGGGCTGGTGGTTGCAGTGGCTCATGCCTATAATCACAACACTTTGGGAGGCTAAAGCAGAAGGATCACTTGAGTCCAGAGGTTCAAGACCAGCCTAGGCAACATAGCAAGACCTCATCCCTATTTTTAAAAATTAAAGAAATGAATAAAATCTCTTGGTGGGCAGATTCTTTGAGCTCCTGTAAATAGCCTGTTGCTCTCAGCATTTCCTGCTTTTAATATGTGTTGATGTCTTTCTGACTACATCATTTCTAACTAGTAGACAGATGCTGTAAGGAGGAGCTTTCTGTTTTTACCTGTTTGTTTATTTACATCAATTTAGAATCATGGATTCTTTATTCAGTGGGTCGTCATCCATTAATATGAGTATTTTAATTTACAAGTTGTCTTGGATTTGGCCAGTAGAGCCCCTTCAAGCTGTTTTGATGTACTCCATGATTCTTTAAGCACTTTCTTACTTTATGGCACAACAAAGCATCTTGCTTTTCCAGACTCATTTTGGATCTTACCTGCTCCACATCTGGAATCAGCCATTTCTCCAAGGAGCTGGTGGGCATGGTTTGAGGGGCTCAGGGTTGGGGGCTGTGCATTCCAGTTTGTGTTGTCACATTTACCTAGAGCACTGAGTATATTTACAGTGGTGTTTGTTATTTACTGTCAGAGTGTCCAAGAACCATGGAAGGCCTTTGTATTACTGCTTTGGACAAAAATTTATCATCACTGACCGCCTTTCTTTCCTGTTAACTGACGTTTTTAACTTGACAAATGTGATCTTTGCCACATGTACTCATTTGAGTTGTTGAGTACATTCTAGATGTATAGTACTATGCCGTTTTCTTTAAGCCATTTTGAGAAACACGGTAAGCTGGAAAAAATGATTTACCAAATATATGGAATGATAAACACTCTTTCTTTCATCCTGATTCTGTGTTGTTGACGTCTTATTCAGAAGTGAATATCATCTTTCATGGGGTGGCAAAAATGCCGTTTTGAGAAAGCCTTTTTGGTTCCTGAGTACCTGCAATGACCTAAAGCTCTTTATGCCTCTTGGAACCTTGTGTCTTGTATTGTTTATTTTTATTTCCCCGTTAAGTCATTTGGCTCCAAAACAGCAGTTGTAACCTTGTTCGCCTCTGTATTTGGCTTTATCCCTTCTACACTCACTGTCGTAGTGGGCACTCAGAGTATGAATTTGGTAGTGGATTTTTCCTGTTTGTTTGCAAATTGCGCTGATCTGATTCCAGCTATGGAAATCATTAAGGAAAAAAAAAACAACAGAAAACATTCAACATTGCCTTCACACTCACAGGAAATCCTAGGTCACTATTATAATTAATTTTTAGATGACAAAAAGGAACTTGGAGCAGCCAGAAGGAATCAGTATTACATGAAATATGGGAATTCAAATTACGAAGGCATGAAAGGAATTCTTAGCAATTCATGGTGAGCCCAAAACCTTAAAATGCAAAAGTATTTAAGTTTTTCTTAATTCTTCAGTTAGTATTCTGTGTTGAAATGTCTAAACCCCATGTAGACTGGAAGGAAGATGAGGGAAGAATTCAAGATTCTTAAATGTGGTAAATGCTGAGTTTTAGTTACATTTAAAATATCTGTTTTAGTACCTAACATTGTTTCATTGTGTAGTTGAAATGAATTAGTGAGGCCAGAGGCAGTGTCTCACACCTGTAATCCCAGCACTTTGGGAAGCCAAGGCGAATGGATCACCTGAGATCAGGAGTTCTAGACCAGCCTGGCCAACATGGTGAAACCCTGTCTCTACTCAAAATACATAAATGGGCCAGTGTGGTGGCACACACCTGTAGACCCACCTACTCAGGAGGTTGAGGCAGAAGAATTGCTGCAACTCGGGAGGCAGAGGTTGCAGAGAGCTGAGATAGCCACTGCACTTCAGCCTGGGAGAAGGTGAGAGACTCCATCACAAAAAAAAGAAAGAAAGAAAGAAATGGGCTAGTTGATTTCAGGGCCCTTCCTATTAGTTTTTGATTGTGTGCTTATTTTGGCGTTCTTGCAGGAAGCAAAGATATAATTCCCGTCGTATTCAGTGGGACGTGATCAAGAAGAGAGCCCTGATTGGGGATAACGTTGGCTTGACGTCGTATAAACATCGGCATTCTGGTAGTTGCCTGCTCAGCTCTTGGGTAGACACATGTTTGGCTCCTGAAATCATATTTTTATTCTTAATACAATCTTTTAAGGTTCCAAACTTTATCATCCTCGCTTCCTTGCCCTCACCCTCTGCCAACATATAGGAAAGTAAGTCAAGTCACAGTTAATTTTAAGTTGCCCAAAGAGATCAAATGATTTTATAAAAGCTGTTCTATCAAAAAGACCAAATGTGACACAGAGAAAATTAAACCTTTTTTTAGGATTCTAATTTTTCAACTATTAATATCAACAGCTGCATGAAAACAATTTTATTTTATTTTTAGATGGAGTCTCGCTCTGTCGCCCAGGCTGGAGTGCAGTGGCATGATCTTGGTTCACTGCAACCTCTGCCTCTTGGGTTCAAGTGATTCTCCCACCTTAGCCTCCTGAGTAGCTGAGACAACAGGCGTGCACCACCAGGCCCAGCTAATTTTTGTATTTTTAGTAGAAATGGGGTTTCACCGTGTTGGCCAGGCCGGTCGATCTTCCCTTCTCGGCCTTGTGATCTGCCTTCCTAGGCCTCTGAAAGTGCTGGGATTACAGGCGTGAGTCAACATGCCTGGCTGGAAACAATTTTAAAAATTATTTTGTCATATAAACTGATTGTGTGTTCTTTTTCTGTAATAAAAATAGGCTGCTGTGTTGAGTGCTTTGTGCTTGTTGGTTTGTGCATGTGAATGCCTCAGAAAAGGGAGATATCAGAAAAATGGGTTTCTTTCTCCTTTTTTGGTGCTTATTTGTAAAAGAACCATTTTAATTATGTTTTATAATGAATTGTTCTTATTTTGAGCCTAATCTGTGGAATCTTCTACATGCATAATAGAACTTGCCAAGTCAGCATACAGAATCACATACACACACATTGATTGTAATGGGGACAGAAAGGGATGAAGTCTAGACATTTTATTTAGTGTGTATATACAAAATTGTGTATTTGAGATCTACATATTAATAATACACATAGGCTGGGAACAGTGGCTCACACCTATAATCCCAGCACTTCAGGAGGCCAAGGCAAGAGGATCGCTTGAAACCAGGAGTTCGAGACGAGCCTGGGAACATAGTGAGACCTTGTCTTTACAAAAAAATAAAGAATTAGCCAGACCAGGTCTTGCTACTTGGGAGGTTGAGATTGCCTGAGCCTGGGAGGTCGAGGCTGCAGTGAGCCAAGATGGTGTTACTCTATGCCAACTTGGGCCATAGAGCAAGACCTTTTCTCAAAATAACAACAACAACAACAACAATAATAATACACATATTTTTCTGTTACACTGTTATGCTTTTCCAGTTTTACTTACTATAGATATTTTCATCATACAGTTTTTATATATAGATTAAGGAAATTAAAAAGCAAATTACCCCATTTCTAGTACCCTGTATGATGACTGATTTTATCTTACATTTTTCCCATTTGTCTATTTTCATAATAAATAGTCTAACTCTTGTGAATTTATACTTTCTATTTTGCTGCTTTTGTTTATTGTGTTTTCCCATTGATTTTCATTATTCATGGGGCTTATGTTCTATAAAGTCACTGTGCACACTGAATTAGCAAACACCGAATCATGTGTAGCCTCTGGTCACATTTTTGCCAGTGGATCAATATGGTATCTTGTTTTATGTGTTTCTGTTTAAGGACACCTTATTTAACGTTGAATTCACGGCCAGTAGCCCTAAAACTCAGGCTGCACACTGCCCACCACAGCCTGGTTGCATCTAGGAACACCAGGCAGCACTTGAGCAGGACACTCAGGGCAGTTTTAAGCAGTGAAATCACTGGCAGCAAGTGCAGAAGTGTGAAAACTGTGGCTAGCGGCAGACTGAAACAGACAGTTGTTTACAGCTTGAGATGAAACAAGAAGGCAGAGTGTTGCTTTGTTTGGCCTCAGCTGGGAGTGTGCGTGTCTGGTGACTCAGAGTTTTTTCGCCATTCTTTGCGTGCCAGCAAACAACCATTGAAGCATTGCAAGTATTGATTTTGGAGTTACAAATAAATTTGGCAAATTTGCAAATACAAAAACTGTGAATAATGGATCAGTGTATTTTAAATGACTTTATGATATTTGATTATGTTGCTGCATCATACTTTACCTAGCCATGCTCCTGTTACAGTATCAGAGTAATGTCCATTCAGCACTATTACAGATCGTGCTCTTATAAAATGTCAGGGATGGGAGCCCTGTCTTTAAAAAGGTCCCCGATGTAGAGCAGAAAATCATACTTGTTAATTTTAGTGCTTTTCCTAATGTTTTCTGATTAAATTTCCTCAGGACTAGTGAATGTACCTGAGGAACCCATTGAAGAGGAGGAGGAGGAGGAGGAGGAGGAGGAGGAAGAAGACCAGGACATGGATGCAGATGACAGAGTGGTGGTAGAGTACCACGAGGAGCTCCCAGCTCTCAAGCAGTCCAAAGACCGGAGCACGTCCAGACGGTCCAGTGCCAGCAGCTCAGACTCAGATGAAATGGACTATGATCTGGAACTGAAAATGATTTCCACTCCTTCCCCAAAGAAGAGCATGAAAATGACTATGTATGCTGATGAAGTGGAATCTCAGTTGAAAAACATTAGGTAAAATCTTTGTTTTATCAATGCCAGCTTTTCATTTGATTTTAAATACTAATATGACTTCTTCTTAATGCCTCCTAATTTTATAATATCTTTCATCTATTCTGATTTCAGTCCCTTGTAGGAGTTTAATAAACACATCCAGTGTTTCCTCTATACAAGCAGCAATTCTTGTTCTAAAAGCTATAGACAATATAGAAAGTGAAAATCATCTGTATTCCCATTCTTTCCTGACAGTAACACTGTTCCCAATTGGGTGAATAGCCTTTCAGCTGTGTGTATGTGTGTATAGCACATGGAAAAACTATAGCTATAGTTGTATAAAAGTATATTTTTTATAAAAATGAGGTTATGCTATTTATAGTTTTGCATTGTGCATTTTCACTTGTTATAGACATTGTTATTTTTTCAACTGTATGTAGTCCATTGTTTGAAAGTATCATGGTTTATTTAAAGAATTCCTTTTTGATGGACTTTGGGTTTCTGTTTTCTTACTGTTGCACTAACTAGATAAATTCTTCAAAGTCCAGTTATTATATAAAACAATATACATGTTTTAAAAGGTGGTATTGCTAAATTGTTTTCCAGAAGGGTTTTAATCACACAATTACCACTATTACCTACATGCTCACCAGCCTTAGCTATTACCATTCTTTCTAATGTTAGCTAGTTTCATGAACAAAAACGAATTAGTTATTTCAATGTGCACGTCTTTGATGACTACTAGGGGTGAGCAGATTCTGTGCAGGCAGAATCCACAATTCAAGGGTTAAAGTCTAGGGATGCTCTATCTCACATGTTCTCAGTATGTTTGTAGGGAGGAGAAAAGTCCATTCAAGCTGATTTGTTTGTATGGCCTTGTTCACACTCTTATATTTAGTTTTCAGAGAACTTTCTGGTAGAGAATGCCACCAGAACCGTGCTGTTACCTAGTATGGTAGCATATCTCTTTGAAAGAGAAATCTGCCCTTTAAGGAGAGAGACTGTAGACTACACTATGTATTGACTACAGCCAAATCACAGCATGGGTGAGCCGAAGCCCCAGTCTCTTTGTAGGCCTCTACTTAACATCTATCCCAGGAGAGGGGGACTGGTAGTCTCGTGCTCTGTGATAGGACATACACGTGTGGAAACCACATTTGAAAACCTGTTCGCCCAGACCAGGCTCTTTATAGCAGGTAGCTCATGGTTTCCATAAGCAAATAATTGTAAGTTTATGAATTTGTGAGTGAATGTTGGCCATATTAGATTGGATTTCTTAAATTGTTTCCTCCAAAGTATGAGATTGTTGTTTGGGCCTTGTCTCAGAGCTGAAGTTGGTTAACTGTGCCCTGTCCTACCTGCTTTTTCAAGGAACTCCATGAGGGCAGATAGTGTATCTTCAAGCAATATCAAAAACCGAATTGGTAACAAACCGCCACCTGAGAAATTTGCAGATGTCCTAGATCTATTAGATGAAAAACGCCAGCACTCGCGTCCACGACCACCAGTCAGCAATACTAAATCAGGTATTGTAGCTGTGCTTCTGGGCTGTATTCTGAGCTCCAGAAAGCAGACTGGGGCAGAGTTGAGTTCTTGGGTAAAATACACCATTTGTGAACTGATTTCGCTGCCCTGGCTCATCATATCTAGATTTTGGGCTAGGTGTTGGAATTTCAGGAAATGAAAAGTAATCAAACTTTTGCAAAACTAGTTTTAAATATTTTTATTCCAGATAATTACAGTCGCTCCTTGGTATTTCTGGGGGTTTGTTTCTGGGACTCCTCACCCACTTACAGATACCAGAATCTGCAGATACCAGAATCCACTAATGCTTAAGTCCCTTAAAGTGACGTATTACCTGCGTGTAACCTACACACATCCTCTCATATATTTTAAGTCATCTCTAGATTATTTATAATACCTAATACAGTATAAATTCTTATCCTGTATATTTTTTGCTGGACTCTTATGTCTTATTTTTTTTTCCCAAATATATTCAATCTGCAGTTGGTTGAATCTGTAGATGTGGAGCCCATGGCTGAGGTGCGCCAACCATATTTTACTCTGTATGACATTGGCATACTTTATATACAAGAATAATGGAAATTAAGTTGGGTGGTTGTCTGAATGGTTAAGAGTTTTCACTAGATCATTTGTACATGCAAACACTCATTTGGGAGGTGTTTAGCCAAACCTGCTGTGTGTCAGAGCCAAGGCTGGGTGCTTAGGAGCGAGAGAAGTCTTTGGAGGAGACACACAGCCATTGCCAATCTACTAAGGAGACTGTGAAAGGCTCTTAGAGAAAGTAGCTTTAGAGCGCGGACTCAGAAGGGCAGCATCTTTGTTGGCAAACCTGATTTTTTTAGATGGGAAGTAACCTGGTCTTAGATCTATGTTAGAAAGATAACTGGAGGGTGGAGTGGGGTGGGGTGGAGAGTTAAATCAGTACCAGGAGCCTGAGCTAGGTTAGTGGATACAGAATGGATAAAGAACAGGAAGTCCTATGAAGGAAGACTCAGGGCTAGGAAGTGCTGAAGGAAGGGGCTCGGGCCTGAGTGAGCAGATGCCAGGGTGCTGCTCTCCGAGAGAAGTTAGAGATGAGGTCTCAGCACAAGGTCTCACTGACAACGCTGTTTCGGCCATTGCTGTCATTGTTAGGGGGAACGCAAGAGGACAGGCAGATTTCTGGGGGGATGGAGTGAAAAACAAATTTTTATCCTTTGCTTTTGCTGGTTGCCAGTCTCTTTATTAGGAACTACTTAATATGTTCAAAGATTGTCCCTTCTGCTCTCAGGGAGCTTGCAGGATTCTTTTGTTAGCTGAAACTTTTGTAAATTATTTAGTGTGCTTGAATCTGCTAAAACAATAAAAATGATTGTTTTTTCAAAAATTTAGTTCTGGAGCAATCAATTAAAGATTTTTCCCCCTGACAGCACCTACGTCCGAATTTTCCTAGGGAAATCCAGACTGATGACAAAGGAAAGATATGTAGCAGCCTGCTTGTCAGGCCCTGTGTCCTCACTTAGGGAGAGCTGGTTCCAGATCCTTTAGAGGTCTCAGGCAGATGGTGCTGAGAGTAAAGCACGTACACTGTGACTGTTGTACTTTCTCTCTGTTTTCAGATATATGCCAGCGGTTAGAAAAAGACCATATTCTCCAGAAAAGGCTTTTAGTAGTAACCCAGTGGTTCGGAGAGAGCCCTCTTCTGATGTTCATAGTAGACTAGGTGTTCCTAGGCAAGATATTAAAGGCCTCTACGCCGATACTCGGGAGAAGAAATCAGGTTGGTAACACTTAACATTGATGGGATGGGGAGTTCGGTGAGAGCAGAGGACAGTGGTGTATTGTAGAAATACTTTCTTATCAGAAGGCAAGAAACAGCACATGACAAACATAAGTGATGATTCCTTTTCCTTTAAGGTCATCATCAGCATCATCAGCATCAGCATCCCAACAGTAAGGAATGCTTAGAAAATGGGAAAAAATAGCGTGCTCATGGTTCCTTCCGTGTGGCACAGATCCTTTTTAGTTTCATGTGAGCTATTCCGATCTTTGTCCACATACAAATCCTACTTTTTTCATATAGCATTTTATCATAGTTGTTTGCCATATTCTATCATCTTATAAATAAAATTTGTAGGCCAGGCACGGTGGCTCATGCCCGTAATCCCAGCACTTTGGGAGGCCGAGGCGGGTGGATCACCTGAGGTCAGGAGTTTGAGACCAGCCTGACCAATGTGGTGAAACCCCGTCTCTACTAAAAATACAAAAGTTAGTCAGGTGTGGTGGTGGGTGCCTGCACCACTGCACTTCAGCCTGGGCAACAGAGCAAGGTCCTGTCTCAAAAAACAAAAACAGAAACCACTTTTAATTGCCTTATAATGTGGCTGTTCACAAAATCTAAACACATATTTCTCTTGCAAAATTTTCATAAAATGTATTTCAAAAATGAATGGATAGTGGGCAGAATTTCTGAAACGTTGCAGTGCAGTAGGCCCATTGATTTGTAGAATGTTGGAGCTGGAAGGATCTGGGAACGGCCTACTCCCAGCAGAAAGGATTGGCACACAGGGGTGTGTCTCAGCAGGGAAGGGCAGGAGCAGGAGGAAACAGCCTCTCAGGTGATCCCATGTGTCCGGTGACAGGGAGGTACATGACTGTCCCCACACAGTGAGAATCCCCTGTGGGGTCCAGACCCCTCTGTTTGCAGGCAGGGGCTGCCCCCAGGAAATGAGATGACCTTCCCAAGGCTGCACCGTGCTGGCAGGCGCCACAGACTGCTGGCATTTCCTGCACATCAGGGGTTGACAGTGCCACTGCCCCCTTGGTACTACCCTGGTTTTTAGCACTGACTGCAAAACTGAAATGTCATATCATCCAAACAGGTAATTTATGGACTCGCTTAGGATCTGCACCCAAGACCAAAGAAAAGAGTATGAAGAAAGGAGATCATAGGGCACCTGGCACTGAGGAAGATGACTCCGAGCTGCAAAGGGCGTGGGGGGCTCTGATTAAGGAGAAAGAGCAGTCTCGCCAAAAGAAGAGCCGGTTAGATAACTTACCATCTCTCCAGATTGAAGTTAGTCGGGAAAGCAGCTCTGGTTCAGAGGCAGAGTCCTGATGCCCCCGGGGCCTGTGACAGCTGCCCTAAAGCCTGACATTCAGGCACAGGGTGGGGCACAGTAGCAACCTCCCCCACAGGAGCTGGCACCCTCTCTCTCCTGCTCACACAGTCACCCTCAGCTTTTGCTACCTTGGCAAGGCATCTTAAGAATGTGACAAGTTTTCAAGGGCATCTCTATCTCACTGCAGAGTTGTAGTTCTGGGCCCTCGATTATTTTCCCACCACCCCACAGGCTTTACCCTTTGAGAAAAAGGCAGCCCTCCAGATTTTGTAGACATTTTTCTTAATATTTTTAACATTGTGTCTTTTAAAATAAATGTTTTACACAGTTCATCCAAAGAGCAGAGAACTGAACTTCTCACTATTGCCTTGGCCCTGACAGCTGTTACCAGCACCCTTTCCCCAAGAAAAGTCAATTCCCAGGTGCTTATTGGACATCCTTCGAGGGGGAAGATGAGGGAAGCGGCCAGCTCACCCTTCCGGGGCCCTAGTCTGGGGGCGAATCTCATGGACCTGACCTCAGAGGTACACCAGTGCCGCCAGGTAGATAATAGATGCAGCATTGATTGTGCTTCTGTTCTACCCTCGGGATTGCTCATATTGCAAGCCTCTTACTTGCTGTCAGCCTGATGTGAAGATCAAGTTCAGTGCTGTGGGATTTTTAGGAACAAAAACCTGTGACTTCTGGATTTGGGGTTGATTTTTGTGCTAGGGGTGGGATTATGGGTTAATATTGAACAATTTCTAAGTCTGTATTATGTTTAAAACACGAATGATTTAAAAGTTTAAATTTTTAATTTTTATATGTGGAAATTCTTCCTGTTGGCTAAAGGGGAAGCTCAAGTGGTATCTTCTTTTGTGCTGTTAAATATATATTCTATTCTTTGCAAGAAGGCAGAGAGGAGTCTTATTATTTTTAAATGCCCCTAATTGTATAGTCTGTCTGTTGTACATAGAGTTCAGCTTGCTTTTTGGCTATAGCAGGGAAAAAAAATCCATCCATCCGAGATGGGGTCCCATCATTTATTATCACTCTAGAAGTTATACGTTGATATTTATTCTTTCTCGCCCCCAGTTGTGGCACCCGAAGACGTCTTCAAAACTGGCAGATAATAGTTATAAAAATTTTAGTTCGTGTATTTTTAAACTCCTTTCAGATTATTTTTCCATGAGGAGGAGGTAGATTATTTCGTCTTCCTGTCTGCTTTTTGTTTGGTAGTGTTTAATTTTGGATTTCTCTGCAGTTTTAGGAAACAGTGTTTGGCCTTGGTTTGCTGGACCATGGGAAGTAGAGATGGTGATAGGCCCTGGTCGTTTTTGCGACATCTCAGCTCTTCAGCTGCCTGGGCTGTTCTGCACCCAGTGCAGCCTGGATCCTGTCAGCCCTTGCTTGGCTGAGCTGATGGTCACACTGATAGTTGATTACTGTGGCACGAATGAATGAAGAACAATGTTGTTAATAAAGGAAGTAAAGGGCTGTAAGATTTGAGAGCTGCAGCTAAAACCCTATCATCCCATGTTTTGTTGGTTAACCTGCTTTTCCCCCTTCCTTTAGAGAGATGACAGCATATAACCATGACAGTTTCCGTTTCTTTTCTAGGAAAGAGGTGATTCTGGTTTCTCTGCCAGTTGAGACTTAGGCATCTGATATTCCTCACCTTTTCTTTCCCTGTGGAGCCAGGTTCTTAGGAAAGGTCAGGGTTTGAGGAGTTGGTAGAGTGAGAAGTGCAGAGCCCTAAATGCCAACCCCGGCTCTGCTCCATGGACCTGGGCCTCCGTTTTGCCATTTAGCAGTTGAGTGTGCTGGTACCAGAACTCCCAGCTTTGTTGGCGCATCTCAGGGGTGTTTTCCTCTTCCCTAGCTGTGGCGGCAGTGGCTGGCCAGCATTAATTCTATTGAAGGTGGAGAAAGCATCAAGGAGATGTCGGAGGGCATGTGTGAGGTGTGGCCAGGCTTATTCCCATCCCAGTACAGTCTTGCTTCTTCTAATGGGGCAAAGATGTACTTGTGGTCATGGTCCCAGCTGCCAGTCTCTGCAGGGTTTGGAATGTGGTCCTTCACAGACTTGCCTTTTGGTTTTCCACCAGCAGGCCAGGTCCATTTGTCCCATGGCCTTTCCACACTCATCAGTCTCCTCCTGGAGATGAGTGAAGATGTTCTGGAAGGAGGTGGTATGCAGTCAAAACTGGGTCTTTGCTCTAACCAAGAAAAATGCACACTTCAGCAGCCTTACAGTTTTCACAGACATGCAGAGAACCCAGAAAGGCAGCTTTAAAGATTTGACTTCTGGGAGTAATTGGCCTTCTCAGCCTCTTTGTATATTTAGTAGAGACAGGGTTTCACCATGTTGGTCAGGCTGGTCTTGAACTCCTGACCTCAGGTGACCTCATGCAGATCTTGCAACATCTTGAGTGTGACCTGAATGATGAGTCCTTTCCTTTGGCAGTTTAGGAGGGAGAATGGACAGTCAGCACAGCCCCCTGGCAGGCAACTTGGTGTGCTTTTATCCTGGGCACTCCCCACACATGCGGGCGACACACTTTTTGAGTTCCTCTTAGTCTTCCATGTAGGAGATTTTGAGTACATTTTTGCTGCTTTATGATCATTGGAGTACCTCATTTGTTCCCACTCTCCTCTTTGGAGAATTGCCAGGTGCCCAGGAGAACTTGTGGCGCCCACGACAGGATGTAGTCTTCTCCTCCGGCCCCTCGTAGTCTGGTCCTGTGACTCCCTCCCACAGTTCAGCCACTGTCCTTTCCAGCTCCATCCGTGTAGCAGCCCTTCACTGCTCTCTGCCCTGCCTCCATTCTGCACGCTGCAGCCAGGACAAACCCTTGTTGTTACCAGCTTAATTTAGAGGTAATTTGCATTCAGTTCAGTCATTTGCAGTGTACACTTTAGTGACTTTGAGTATATTTACAGACTTGTGGCCCAGCACTGTAATCAACTTGAAAACATTTTTCTCACCCAAAGGAACCCTGAGCGCATTAGCAGCACTCCCATCCCTCCCGGTAGCCTCTGGCCGCCGCTGCTCTTTCTCTCTGTGGATCTGCTGTTCCGGACAGTTCATATAAACGGAATCCACCATGGGTCTATTTGTGACTGGCTCCTTAACGTATTTTTGAGGTTCATTCATGTCATAGCATATATCATTATTTCGTTTTTTAAAATTGCTGAATAATAATTCATTTTATGGGCACACCACATTTGTTTTTATCCATTCATCAGTTAATGGGCATTTGAGTTGTTTCTACTTTTGGGCTATGTATATGTATGTTTGTATTTTTTTTTTTTTTTTTTTTGAGACGGAGTTTCGCTCTTGTTGCCCAGGCTGGAGTGCAATGACGTGATCTTGGCTCACTGCAACCTCTGCCTCCTGCGATCAAGCAATTCTCCTGCCTTAGCCTCCAAAGTAGCTGGGATTACAGGCATGTGTCACCACGCCAGCTAATTTTTTGTATATTTAGTAGAGACAGGGTTTCACCATGTTGGTCAGGCTGGTCTTGAACTCCTGACCTCAGGTGATCCACCTGCCTCAGCCTCCCAAAGTGCTGGGATTACAGGCATGAGCGACCACACCTGGCTCTACTTTTTGGCTACAATGATTAACGTTGCTATGAACATTCCCATACAAATTTTTGCATCGAAGAGTGTATTCACTACTCTTGGGTGTATACCTAGGAGTGGAATTGCTGGGATATACAGCGACTATCTTTAACCTTTTGAGGAACCACCAGGCAGTTTTTCAACAGCTGTATCACTTTCCACTCCCATTAGCAATGAGAGAAGGTTCTAGTTTCTCCACATCTTCACTAACACTCATTATTTTCTGATGTGAGGTGGTATCTCGTTGTAGTTTTTTTATTTTTTCTTTTTAAAATATGTTTTGTACAGAAGGGCCTCGTTATGTTGAACAGGCTGGTCTCGCACTCCTGGCCTCAAGTGATCCTCCTGCCTCAACCCTCCAAAGTGCTGGGATTACAGGCATGAGCCGCCACGCCTGGCCCTCATTGTGGTTTTGATTCGGATTTCCCTAGTGGCTAATGGTGTTGGGCATCTTTTCACATACTTCAGGATGAACTTGCTTAAATATAAATCTGATGCTGTTATTCCTCTACTTGAAACCTTTTCAAAGCTTAACCATTACCCTGAGAATAAACTCCAAACTCCTGATCGCATGAGCCCAGGAATTCGAGGCTGCAGTGATCAAGCCACCGTACTCTAGCTTGGGCAACAGAGCAAGACCCTGTCTCAAAAATACATACATAAGTAAATTCCACCCTTGTGAAATCGCTCTTCATACAGCCCGTCAAGGCCTATCCTCTGGCAGTGTTTCTGGCCTGTGCCTCCTCCCCTGCCCTCTGCTCACTAGTTCCCTGCGTGCATCTTGACCTCACTAGCCCCACAGACTGTGCATAGTGTTGTTTCCACCTCCAGCCACATACTCCCCCAGGCCTCTCCCCTCCCGCCTCAGTCTTGCCATTCCCCTCACCCTCAAGATCTTAGGGGCCCTTCTAGGAGGCAATCCCCAACTTCCAGAGCCAGGGTGTAGGCTACTTCTGTGTGTCCCATGGTACTGCCACAAAGAGTCTTGGTTCTCTCTGGGATTCAGTTACAAGGTCAATGCCTAAGATAAAAATGGAGTGTAATTAAAATTCCTCTTAGAAATCAATGGAGAGTGCCATGTTGAAGGCCAACATCTTAAGGTCCCAAATGATCATTTTGCCCATATGGGAACAGATCACTGTTTCTGTGGTTGAGTACCAGGTAAAGTGATTGCCCTGTAGTTAGGGCCGTGTTGTGCAAAAATCACTTGTTTTTGGTGTTAGAACCACATTTAGGCGAGAAGGTCACTTTTGGGGAGCATGGGAACTGGGGCAGGCCACAGGAGCAGCAAAGGCATGAGCTTGCCTGGGCCCCACTCCTGTCTCTGCTCATGGAGGGAAAGAGGGGCCAGTGGAATGGCCCAAACAACTTATTTTTCTTTTTTTAAAGCTTTTTCAGACAGATAACATTGTGTTTAAGTGAAATGTGTGTATAATGCCAACTCACTGTACCCCACAACCCAGCACACCTCTACAGTGGACTGTAATTCTTGTTTTGCTAGACTTCTAGCTCCGTGAGGGCAGGGACCATGTCTGCTTGTTCACCGGGGTTTCCCCACTGCCTACCACCACGCCTCGCATCCAGCAGGTCTTGTAAAGATGGAATGAATTTGCAAACCCTCCAGCCTCAGGAACGGCTCCATCCTCTGAGGCTCTGGGGCCCTCTGACGGGCTATTTATGTTTCTATGTACGTACAGTGCTTTATTCTCTTGCTTTATGTTCCTTTCTAGCCTGTAAGCAAGCTCCTAATGAGCAGGTTTCTTTGTGGTGTTATCTCTGTATCCTTGCATCAGGCCAGCCCAGAGGAAGTACTGCTTCGAAAGTGTTTGGTAAATGAATGAATTGTGGTAACCCAGCCCAGCTCTGGCATCATTGTCTGCAGGCTAGTCTAAATCTAGGTGAAACCCCCAGATTCGAAAAAGGGAAGATTATTCAGAGGTACATATGCTTGCATAAGAAAAAAAAATTCATTAAATAGACCTGAGTAAACTTCAGATTTTGATGATCTGACCATGTCAGAGCTGAAGCTTACTCAGCTTCAACATTGACCAGGGAATCATGCAGATAGGCCAGAATATCTTTTAGAAAAGCATTCCTCTGTCCCACGATAGAAGCAGAGGAAGCTGGCAGGCGGGTGATGGGCCCCGAAGAAGGACTGTGGAGCCAGGTTTTAGCCTGTGGTTCTCTTGCTGAGGAACATGACAGTAGTCTAGAGCAGGTGAACAGAGCAGAACTCACTCCCGCAGTGGCTCTTTTGCCGAAAGCAGCATTCCTCAAACTTCTCACTTGAAGCATTTAGTTACAGTGAGATGCTAACACGCACTTTAGATTCAAGTCAAAACTTGCTGTGAAGCCTACAGCAAATCGTGGCTTCCCAGGTTAATTAGTTGCTACACAAGTAAGTTTGATAGGTAAGTACAGTAATTGCTTTTAAACCTTATAATAACAGGAAGTAAATTAGAAGTTAAACCAATTGTTTCTTTTATGAACTAAGAGAAGAGAATGCTTTTGATACTGAGAATTGCACACTTGCAATAAGGCGGATTGTTACTGCATAACCAGGCCCACAATAAATACCAGGAACTTTTCTTAAATGTTTATAAAATAAATCTTAGAAGAAAAAAATATTGTAGATTTTTTTTTTTTTAAATGAAACACTGAGCATTTCATAGAACTCTGTTCCCGGGAGTGGCTAGGGATATGCTGCCTCAAAAACCCTGTTTTGAGTAGTTGTGAGGCATCGAAGTGGAATTTTGCTGTGCTATAAATAAAACTAGCATAGAGGTGGTGTTTCACCTACCACAGTCAGTACCTGCCTCAGGATTCTTATCTGTTCATTTGAGCAATTCCAGAAGCCCTCCCTGGATGACCAGATTCTTAAATAGTTGAGACTTTGTATTATTTTAAATTGTCACCCTCACCTCTGGGCCAGTGTAGGTTAGTGAGGTCGAGAGGCCTACACCATTGGCAGAAGAGAATTCTTGGGCCGAGCACGGTGACTCACACTTGTCATCCCAGCACTTTGGGAGGCCGAGGCAGGCGGATCACCTGAGTTCAGGAGTTAGAGACCAGCGTGGCCAACATAGTGAAACCCTGTCTCTACTAAAAAAAAATAGCTGAACATGGTGGCTCATGCCTGTAGTCCCAGCTACTCAGGAGGCTGAGACAGGAGAAATACTTGAACCCTGGAGGCGGGGGTTGCAGTGAGCCGAGATTTCACCGTTGTACTGCAGCCTGGGCAACAGAGTGAGATTCCGTCTCAAAAAAGAAAAAAAAGAATTCTTGCCTTCCTGTCCCTCCCTCGGGTTTTTGTGGTAGTGTTTAATCCTGTGATGTGGCCATCTTCTCCTCAGAGGGCCTGTGAGAGGCAGGCAGCAGCTTTAGCTCAGGTAGAATGCCTGTTGGGGAAAGTCACATAGGATGGCGGCGGGGGCTGGGGCCCTGGGGACTCCTGCGCCATGTACTCAGTTGGAAGGACTGAGCAAGTCCCCTCACCTCTCTGGGCCTCAGCTTCCCTGTGTGTGAAATGAAGGGCTTAGCTGGGGAAGTGCCCCAGTCTCCTTCTAGTGCCAGTGTGTGGTCAGGGCCTGTGCCCTCCTCTCCAGGGAGCATCAGAAGTGTGGGCTAGACAGCAGGAAAGAAGTAGGGGCTTGTCAGCAGGACAGCCAAGCCTCAAAGGAGCCTTGGTCCCCGCACCCAGTGCAGCCCTCACCTCGCAGCCCCTCAGTTATGAAGGACAAGAGAGCCCACTCCTTGCTCTCTCGCTGTCCCATCACCCTTCAGCCCCCGACAGATCTGAGGTCCAGAAGCCAACAATCAGGTTGCTAGCATGGTGGGCACCCTCTTGCTTGTCTTGCTCAATTAGGCTTTCCTTGGTGTGTGCAGGTGGCCCTTGTCAGGCCCCCGATCTTACTGGATTATGACCTCACTCAACCTAATGACTTACTTTTTTTTTTAAAGACGAGGTTTCACTGTGTTGGTCAGGCTGGTCTTGAGCTCCCAACCTCAGGTGATCCGCCCGCCTTGGCCTCCAAAGTGCCTGGATTACAGGCACGAGCCACGACGCCCAGCCCCTAATGACTTCCTAAAAGCCGTATCTCCAAGAACAGCCACACTGGGGGTTAGGGCTTCAACAGATGAATTTGGAGGGTGTTTACAGTTCAGTCCGCAGCACCTAATAATGTGGGGATCCAAGCCTGTATTTGTGGAATGAAGTCTCTGCTTTTTTAAAGTTTATACACCACCTGGCCAGATGTGGTGGCTCACACTTGTAATCCCAGCACTTTGGGAGGCCGAGATGGGCAAATCACCTGAGGTCAGGAGTTCAAGACCAGCCTGGCCAACATGGTGAAACCCCAACTCTACTAAAAATAAAAAAATTAGCTGGATATGGTGGTGCGTGCATGTAGTCCCAGCTACTTGGGAGGCTGAGGCAGGAGAATTGCTTGAACACGGGAGATGGAGTTTGCATTGAGCCAAGATCGCACTATTGCAATCCAGCCCGGACGACAGGGCAGGACTCCATCTCAAAAACAAAAACACACCAATAGACCTGAAAAAAGTTTACACACCAATAGACCTGAAGGCAGGAGAGTTTGTGATGGTTCAGAGTCCTGATTCTGGAGGAAACACCTGTTTTTGGGTTTCAGCTGTGCTCCTTACTGGCTGTGTGGCCTCTCTGGGAGACGGCATCCCCCTCATCTGTGAAGTAGGGTTGAACTTGTAGGTGGCTGAGAGGCTCAGGCGAGGACTAGCAGGTGAGGCCTTGGCACTGAGCGGGCACTCTTATGGAGCGAGCACTCAGTCAGAGGCCGTGATCACCACTGCTCTGCAGCCCTAGCGTCTCTTGTCAGCAATGTCCTTACTCTTCCTGAGTCAGTCTTTCTGGCATCCTAAGACTCAGAAGGCAAGTGGGGGAATAGAACCATCTTCTGCCTCTGAAGGCTGTGGCCAGCCTCTGTCCACTGGCACGATGGGATGTCCTCGGTGAAGACAGCAGGCAGCCCTTTCCTTTTTTTTTTTTTGGAGATGAAGTCTTGCTCGGTCATCCAGGCTGGAATGCGGTGGCACAATCTTGGCTTACTGCAACCTCCGCCTCCCAGGTTCAAGAGATTCTCCTGCCTCAGCCTTCTGAAGCTGGGACTACAGGCGCTCACCACCATGCCCGGCTAATTTTTAGTAGAGACTGGGTTTCACCATGTTGCCCAGGCTGGTCTCAAACTCCTGAGCTCAAGCAATCCTCCCACCTCAGCCTCCCAAAGTGCTGGGATCACAGGCACGAGCCACCACGCCCACCTGCAGGCCGCCCTTTCACCTCGAACCAGGCCCATCTCCTCCATCGCTGAACATTTTGCAACTTTTTTTTTAAGAGACAGAGTCCCACTATGTTGTCTATTAGACTCAAACTCCTGGGATCCAGCTTTTCCAAGTGGCTTGAGCCTCTCAGTAACTGTGACTGTACGTGCACACAACTGGACCTGGCCATGTTTTAAACGCTTCATTCTTTTTGGTGTCAAGGGGAAGAAGAAAAGCTTTTTTCTTTTTTAATTAAAAAAAAAAACAAACTTTAGGCCAGGCATGGTGGCTCATGCCTGTAATCCCAGCACTTTGGGAGGTCAACGTGAGTAGATCACCTGCAGCAGTTCGAGACCAGCCTGACCAACATGGTGAAACCCTGTCTCTACTAAAAATACAAAATTATTAGTACAGGCATGGTGGCAGGTGCCTGTAGTTCCAGCTACTCAGGAGGCTGAGGCAGGAGAGTCACTTGAACCAGGTGGTGGAGGTTTCATTGAGCCGAGATGGTGCCATTGCACTCCAGCCTGGGTGACAGAGTGAGACTCTGTCTCAAAACAAACAAAAAAACTTTATTTTGAAATAATTTCAAAATTACAGGAGTTTCAAGAGTACAACAAAGAACATTTTGCCACCTTTTTTTCTTTCATTTGTTCCCTCCTCTCCTCCCTCGCCCCTTTCCCTTCCAGTCTTCTCTGAACATGAACAACCAGGAAGGGTGATTTGCATACGTCATTCCACGTTTACCCATAAGGTGTTAGTGGACATTTCCTAAGAGCAGGGGCGTCCTCTCAGTATCCATAGTACAGCTCTCAAATTCAGGAAATAAGCTTAAATCCTTCTCCTGTGATAAAAATACAACTAAAATAAAATTTTAAAAGGAAATGTGTAGTATTCTCCCATCACTCCAAAAGTTGTGAGTTTGTAGCTCATGTTTCAAATCTGCCAGCTGTCCCTATAACGAGTTTGAAATCCATTGTTCTGGTCCAGGATCCCGTCCAGGACCAGGCCCTGCTGCGAGTTCCCTGCAACCTCTTCTGATTTGGAGCAGGTCCTCAGCCTTGCTTTGTCTTTCATGACATTGATGTTTGGAAGAGTACAGTCCAGTTTTTGTTGTAGAATGTTCCTCAGGTTGGTCCGGGAGCATTTGTGTCCAGCGAGTTGGGAAACGACATTCACCTCTTTCGGTGATGTGTATATTTGCCAAACCCCCAGCCTTGTGCTAGGTGTGTTACTCAGCCAACCCAGCCCCTGACCTTGGCAATGTAGTTTGGGTTTGTGGGAAAAGCAGGTACCGTCAGGCGGGCGTTACGGACCCCTCTATGTCTCATGACCAGAGGCACTGACGCTTAGATAAATACAGGGATGGATGCAGGGCGAGTCAGCATTCTAGAAGTCTGCAGAGGTACAGAAATGGCCCTGCTCCCTCTCCAGCATTCGGCCAGCAGCTTTGCCTGGTTTCCCGAGGCACCGTGAAATTCACACTCCAGTCTTCTCTTGGAAATCTTGAGGGAGCTGAGGTCTGGGTTCTAGCCCTGCCCTACCAGGGACCTGCTCTGCGGCTGGGAGAGGAGGACCCTGTGGCTCTCCCAAGTGTCCTTGGAACAAAGAATGCTTTGAGGGGAGGAGAGTCACAGAGCTCTGAGTGGCGCGGGGAGATAGGCCTGGGCCACGGGCTTCGATCCCGCCTGGGACGAGGTTAAACAGAACTAGGATGGGTTCATCATGACCTGGCAGAAAACCATCAGACCCAGATTTTTGCTTTTTCAGCTGTTTAACTTCTGTTTCATACAGGATAAAAAATGGTCAACCGTGATCTTAAATAATCGATGTAGTAGCCATGGGCACTTTGTCAGACCAAAGCAGACAAGGCGAAAGTGTTTGGAGTGCTGTCGGATCGTCACGAAACCTTAGCCCACAAGCTTTCAGTGAGACACAAAATAACGTGGATTTCTATCTTGCAATGAAGTCAGCACCACTGTCCATTCTGTGTTACACACTAACATTTCAGAGCTCCCTCCCTGGGGCTGCAGACATCCATGTGAGAGACACTTGAATGCTCTGTCTTTATAATTTAACTTAAATTAAATAAAACTTAAAATTCAGCTGTCAGTTGTTCTGGTGACATTTGAAGGGTTTTGTACCATATGTGGCTCGTGGACACCATCCTGTACCGTGTCTGTGGAGAACAGCGCCACCCCTGCGGGGAGTCATGTTTCACAGCGCCGCCCTGCATGCCCAGCAGCCTGGGGAGCAGGAGATTTCCTTCCACGTCAAAGACTGGCCGCACGGTACAGAATCTGACAGATCCTGAAGTCAGCCCTTAAATATACTGCAAACTGTCAACGGCGTGTTCTCTGGAATGCCGGGGTGGATCAGAGGTATGCTACATTCAATGCTAGAAGATTTATAGAATTTTACTTCTGTTATCCTGGTGACTCAGAGCCCTGTTAAATCAGTTTCAGCATCAGGCTGCGGTCCTGGTTTTAAAGAGAATGATAGCAGCGAAGTTGGAATCGCAGTGATGTCACTCAGTGCCCTGGGTCTCTCCACTCACCTGGCCCTCCAAAATCCCAGGGCCTTGAGCGCATGGGCTCCTACTGGAGCCCAGTTTTGGCTGAGTGGGGGGCACTTCCTATGGGAGGGGGACCCCATCTCAATGCTGAGGCAGCCACTCCCGAAGACAATAGGCTGAGCTGTCTGGGGGCAGGTTCTGAGGCAGGCCATGAGACAGACTCAGCTGGATAACACAGATGGCAGGCTGGATTCACGTTGCCCCCACACCTCCCGCATCTGCTGATGACACCCAGAATTGTGGCCCTGGGCCAAACCTCAGCTCCCTGTCCCATGAAAGTGTGGGTTGCAGCTTGGGTGATAGAGCGGGGCTGCCAGTGCCCCCTAAGCTCCTGCTGTGGGTCCAGCCTGCAACTGAGGAAGCCACACACAGCTGTGCCAGAGTGTGTCTGTTTGAGAGTGCCTGTCTGCTGTGGGTCCTTGCTGTCCCCACCTTCTGGCTTCCTGGCTGAGGGAAGCTGAGTGGGCCAAAGCCCCTGTGCAGTGTTCGCCTTGGCTCTCACACAGCTCCCACGTGGCTGCTGCTGCTCCAGCTGCGATGTGACTCTTCCACACTGCTCTGCGTGGCCAGTAAGTCCTCTCACCCGCTCCTCGGGGGGCTGCAGAGCACAGCTGTGACTGTCTGTCTGACAGGGGTCTGTTAGAGCTAGAGGTTAGAGAGTGGGAGGCCCTCCAGGGAAGTGCTCTTGCTCTGTGGGTCAGATCCCCAGGCTTGCTGGGAAGGGTGGCTGAGGCTTTGTGTTGACGGTGCTGGAAGCCGGGACTTCAGACTCCAGGCTCTGCCACTCTGTTCCTCCTCCAGCCCCCAAGGCCCTTTCCCAGTGGCACCCACGTGGGGCAGGTCCTCGGGTCTGTAGTTTGTTGTCTGAGTGTGGAGCCTGCGCCTGGCAGAGCTCCCTTCTGTTACAGCAAGGGTTGGGCTGATGAGGGTGAGGACCCTGTGAGAGACTGGGGCAGGTGTCTGCATGGTCGAGGGTGAGTGTGGGCCGGCAGAGCCTGCTTCCTGTAGTTAAGCCCAGTGTGAAAACTGGCATGTGGGGAGTGGGGAGGCACTTCTGCTGCCTGGTTGGGGAGGGGTCCCCTTTTGGCCTTTAAATATGTGGAAGCCTCTTTGGGCAAGCCAAGCCATGAGCCCTTTCGCTGGCCCCCAGGGATGAGACAGCATGGTCAGCTGAGCCTCTGGAGGCCGTTCAGATCAAGCCGGAGCACAGGATGGTGCTGCCTAGAGGCCGAAGCAGACTTCCCATGGGCCTCCTGTCCTGGCTCAGGAGGTTGGCAGGAGAACTGGATGGGCATCAACTATATGTGGATGAAAGTTCCTGGTAGCCGAGTTCTCCCCAGAAGATGAGCTGAGGCTGTGCTGAGGGGGACGAACTCGGGATTAGCATTCCACATGGGGCCAGATCACCCAGGAAGCAGGCTGGAATATGTGGGGCACCAGTAAGGCACACGTTTTTGGACAGATTTTAATGTTTTATTTTATTATTTTATGAGATGGAGTCTCACTGTCGCCCAGTCTGGAGTGCAATGGCATGATCTCAGCTCACTGCAACCTCTACCTCCCTGGTTCAAGCCATTCTCCTGCCTCAGCTTCCTGAGTAGCTGGGATTACTGGCACCTGCCACCACGCCCAGTTAATTTTTCTGGTATTTTTAGTTGAGACAGGGTTTCGTCTCGTGATCCACCCGCCTCAACCTCCCAAAGTGCTGGGATTACAGGCGTGAGCCACCGCGCCCGACCGACACTAGTGCTCGCGGGCTGCAGGGACAGGACGGACTAGAGGCGAGCACCCCAGCGGCACCTGGGATTCCCCGACCCAACCGGGTCGCCAGCCGCACGGCCCCTGCGGCTCAGAGCGGGGAGCCGCTGCTCGGCCCCATCCCCAGGCAGCGGGATGCCCAGAACTGGTCCCCTGGCTTAGGCACCAGCCGAGTAGGAGCTGGGCTGGCAGTGGCGTCGGGTAGGCCCTTCCCTGGGGGCGGGCAGCTCGCTTTGACCCAGCCGCCTGACTCGGCTTGTGTCCTGGCAGCGATGACTCTGGGGCAACTCCGCTGCGGTGGCTAGCCCGGGGCGGCCAAGCGATGGCGGCACAGGGGCGGGAACCGGTCCGCACGCCTGACCTGAGCAAGCCGAGGAGCAGGTGCTCGGCGGCGCTGTGAGGCGGCACTCCCTGATGACAGGCAGGCTGGACGGCGCCACCCGGAAGGACCCCCCAGCCCAGGCCGGCGCCGGAGCTGCAGCGCCACCTATGGCCAAGGAGTTTTCTCCGGTGACGGGGAAAGCAGGAAGCAGGCCGGAATGTGTGGGGCACCAGTAAGGTGTGCGCAGGTGCAGTGACGTCACAGGAGCAGGAGCAAGTGCGATGACGTCACACGCGAGGGCCTGGCCGTTACCCGCGTGGCTTGGCGTTACCCGCGTGGCTTGGCGTTCGTTGTCCGTGAGGCTTCGAGGCGATCGCTTGGCTTGGCGGTGGTCGCTTGGCTTGACATTTTTTACTTGGCTCGGCCGTAGTCCTTTCAGTGATTGGAAACCTCAGACTTTCCTCGTGGGAGGTTGTGGCCAAGGCAGTAACTCCTACTGTTGGCCTCCTGAGGTGGAGAAAAGCGGGGAGGGGCGGGGAGGGGCTGAGGGGGTCTCCGAAGGCGGCAGTCTCCGCCATGAGGAGGAGATACAGAGTTTGGAGCCCACCCGACAGCTCGGACAGCGGAAGCGAGCATGCAGCGGACGCCTTCAACCCGATTTGCTACTTCATCCTCCCCCCGCCTCACTATCACGTCCACCTGGAAGATCTCGGGGAGCTCCACAGAGCTGCCTGGCTGGGCGACGTCCCCGGGCTGGAGCGCGTCCTGGTGCCCGGAGGCCCTGGCGTAGACAAGAGGGACAGTGAGAATAGGTAATGGCCAGGCGAAGGAGGTGGGCGCGCCGTCCTGTCGGGGACCCGGGCTTTCTGGTGCCCACAGGTTCCATGGTACCCCGGATGGAGAAACCTCGGAAGGGTCGGGGGCCCAGGCCTCTCCATGAGCCAGGAGCAAATATGAATGGTTATTTCTATTGCAAAAGTGTTGCAGGCCGGGCGCGGTGGCTCACGCCTGTAATCCCAGCACTTTGGGAGGCCGAGGCGGGCAGATCGCGAGGTCAAGAGATCGAGACCATCATGGTCAACATGGAGAAACAAGAAGTGACAGATCTTACAGTAGGATTTCACTTCAAGGTGAACTGAATCCAGAGGCGAAGCATTTTTTTTTTCCTTTTTTTTTTTTTTTTTTTTTTTTTGAGATGGAGTTTCACTCTTGTTACCCAGGCTGGAGTGGAATGGCACAATCTCGGCTCACCGCAACCTCCACCTCCTGGGTTCAGGCAATTCTCCTGCCTCAGTCTCCTGAGTAGCTGGGGCTACAGGCACGCACCACCATGCCCAGCTAATTTTTTGTATTTTTAATAGAGATGGGGTTTCACCATGTTGACCAGAATGGTCTCAATCTCTTGACCTCGTGATCCACCCGCCTCAGCCTCCCAAAGTGCTGGGATTACAGGCGTGAGCAGAGACGAAGCATTTTCTATTCAAATAAGCTACATTTCATTAATGTAGTAAATAAGAGCTGGTAAATACTGTGCTTTCTTCTCAGGAAAATTAAATAATTGTTTTAAAGACAGAGGACTAACATTCTATCCAGTGCTATGGATATATGTGAATCATTGTGTGTTTTCAGATAGTACAATACAACTTCCTAAAAAGTCTTCTTACTGTCATAGGACGGCTCTGCATTTGGCATGCGCCAGTGGACATCCAGCAGTGGTAGCTCTCCTGGTGGACAGAAAATGTCAACTTAATTGTTTTGACAGCAATAAGAGGACAGCTCTGATAAAGGTATATAGTAACCAAGTATTTCAGCATGAGATGGCTCTGATTACATAGTAGAATGACTGAGAGCAAGCTCGGCCGTAGAGACTCCCACCCAGGCAGCACTGAAGAAAATGAGAGGCAGACACCCAGATAGAACAGCAAAGTGGGTCAATCAGGGGGACCAGCAGCCTTCCAAACTGAGAGGCTCAGGGCTGACAGCATTCCAGGCTGAAGGCCCCAGGTAGACTCTGACCCATGCAGTTAATCTCTCTGAACAGGTGATCATTATTAACAAACAGGTGTTCAGTATTTTCTCATAACACAAAACACCAAGTAGGCAGCTGGTGCCCAGTTACCACTGATCAAACAACCTAAAATGTATTCTTCATGAGGGAGCCACTGGGGCAGGGTCAGATAGCTTAAAGAATAGTTTTAACAGGTGTATGATATTTACATATTGTCCTGCCACTTTGGAATGCACCAAGTGGTTTTCTGTGGTGGGGGGTGGAGCTGCTAGGTTTTCCTTGCCATTGTTCTTCCTAGCAAACAATATATTCTATCATACACTTAGCATTAATCAGTATTCATAAACTTTACATTTCTCAACAGAACAAAAATGAATTCATCTCATTTAAATGTAACTCATTAGCAAAACCTCTATTTTGAATTCCTAGCATTTGTAATCTATTTCTTGGTCTAATAATGACAGGCCGTACAATGCAGAAAAGAGGAATGTGCAACTATTTTGTTGGACGGGGGTGCTGATCCAGACCTTCCCGATATCTACGGCAACACCGCTCTGCACTATGCTGTGCATAATGAAGACGAATCACTAGCAGAAAAACTGCTTTCATACAGTACAAACAAGGAGGCAAAAAATGAGGTATTGACCAACCAACTTTATTTTCAAACTATTTGAAATGCATTTAACACTGACATATGTAACTGTCAGTTTCCATATTTGGAAGCTCAAGAACCCCCTGAGTAAGAATATTTTGAAATAATTACCTAATATTTCAAATCTTGATACTTTTAAAGCAGCATTAGAGGGCACAGCTTTCTTTTATGCACATATGGTAAATATTTTTGAAAACACTGAATTTGTCAAAGTTAATACTTAAAAATTGTTTTTTCTTCCCAATTTTTTTTTCTAAGGAAAAACAACACAAGAAAGCAAAATTTGCCCTGGAAATAGACTTCATCCTAAAACTCCAAGAAAAAACAAGTTCTTAAATAACACACATTCAAGCAGTTTAGCTCTTAGTGGCAAAGCTTAGGAGGGCAAAATGGAAAGGGCAAAAAAAGCAGCTACCAACCTCCAGCTTGGAGGTTAGGTAATTGAGGGAAAAATACCAAGGTGACCTTTTTTTAAATGTGTTTTGTTGTTATTACTATTTCTTTTTTCTAGTTTATATGTTTAGACAAGGTTTTCTTCAGTTTTGGGGATAATCGGATCATCGTTTTCAGTTTGGAAGAGAGTGAGTTGTGAACTTGCCTAGGAATCCAATTTAGGAGGACTCTGAGGAAACAAGATTAGCTGCGACTAGGTGGTGATGAGTAGGAAACAGTCACTTAGATAAGCGTCTGCGCTCAGCCCTCAAATCTAGAACGTCCTGATGGGAAGATGGGCGAGGCGGAGTTTAGAAATAGCAAAATCAAGTTGGATTTTGAGTTTACTAGTCCCTGTGCTACTCCTACCCAGGAAAACTAAAATGGAGTTTTTAGCAAATGACTGTCTCTTATTCTTTCCTCTTTTTGACAAAATCCTCAAATGTTAAAGGGAACTGGTCACGTGGGTGAGAGATGAGACTGAAGTAATTGTTGTTCTAGTTCTCAGCTAGAGTTGTGCATCACAGCAACCTGAGGAAATGAAAACAAATCTACAAGTCTAAGCTCTTCCCTGAATACTTTTGATATAATAAGTCTAATAAAGCCTGAACAAGTTTATGTTTTAAAATATTTCCTTGATGCCAGGCATAGTGGTACTTGGCTGAAGTCCCTGCTAGTTGGGAGACTGAATTGGGAGGATTGCTTGAGCCCCAGAGTTTGAGTCTAGCCTGGGCAACATAGTGAGACCCTGTCTCTAACAACAGCAGTAAATTCCTAAAACTTCAGATACAGTCCTGGTTAAGAGCCAGTGAATAGGTAGGTGTAATATGTAAATGTCCATTCTCAGAAATGTAAGAAATCTCTAGAGGAGTTGGAGTTTGATAGGTGCTACTTCCTTTAAATCTGTCTCTTTTCAATACTATTATCCTGACTTTTATCTTTCTTTACCTCTGGGTTGGGAAGTTAAAAGGAATGTTATTGGTAATATCTCTCAGCTTCCAGAATACGTTTTCCTTCCCAACCTCATAGCCCTTCAGTAAGCAGAGGCTGACTGCTTTAGGATTTTCTGTCTTTTTTTACCATCCAGGTGATTATTGTTTATTACAAGCAGCTTAATCTTTATTACAAGCAGTTTTCTCGATTAGAGCTGGCAAACACTTAGCCTTTTTTTTTTCATTGAAGCTCTGTTATGAACTATCTCAGTATCTCTGTTAAGTTCACAGAGTTTTGAAATAATCAAGATGGCAGTTTTAAGCACTGAAAACCCTGAAATTAGTAAGAGTACAAATATTGATTCTTTTAACAATTTAGTTTCGGCAGTCATGTGGACTAATTATCCATTTGGTTAACAAGCTGGGAAAAATAAATACAAGTAGATTTTAATTGAATAAGTATTGGAAAAATTCTTGAAGTGTGAGTGTTTTGAGCATGTGAGTGTTTTGGGCCTGTGAGCATTTTTTTTTTAATTCTGAAGAAACAGGGTCTCACTGTGTTCCTCAGGCTGGTCTCAGACTCCTGGGCTCAGGTGATCCTCTTGCCTTGGCCTCCCAGGGTGCTGGACTTGCAGGTGTGAGCAACTGTGAGTTTTAATAGCATTTTTTATTACATGTTGGGGCCTGATTTGTTTTGGTAAAACATCTGAAATTAAAGGAAATGTTTTACAAGTAAATACTTTACACACAACCATTTTGAAACACATCTATAACAAGTATAAAAACACAAGGGCTGTAGTCAAAATGTGGCCCACAGATATGTTTAATTTGCCTCCACAAATTGTGTCAATGTGTAAAATTTAGGAGACTCATGCACAGACCTGGATTTCAGGCTTCTCTTTAAGAATCAAGCCTGTTGTCCCTTGAGCCCATGTCACTGTTCGGTGTGCTGCGACTAGGTTGCCCCTTCGTATGAGGTATATGTTCTCTGGTTTGCTGCTGCGCCCACCTAGGTACTTCACTCAGGTCCCTTCCTTTGCATTGGTAAGATTTGAGTTTACAGCTCCTTTCATGGCATATTTTGATAAAGATTTGAAGTTTTTCAAAACAGTTTATATTTGTTTATAAAATATAGCCTAAATTTTATAGATATCCCTTAGTAATGGGGTTGAACTTTAGGGTTTGGAAGTTGTTTTTTAAAAACTCTTTTGCCGGCCCGGTGCGGTGGCTCAAGCCTGTAATTCCAGCACTTTGGGAGGCCAAGACGGGTGGATCACGAGGTCAAGAGATCGAAACCATCCCGGTCAACATGGTGAAACCCCGTCTCTACCAAAAAATACAAAAACAATTAGCTGGGCACGGTGGCGCATGCCTGTAATCCCAGCTACTCGGGAGGCTGAGGCAGGAGAATTGCCTGAACCCAGGAGGTGGAGGTTGCAGTGAGCTGAGATCGCGCCATCGCACTCCAGCCTGGGTAGCAAGAGCGAAACTCCATCTCAAAAAAAAAAAAAAAATCTTTTGCCTTATAGCTACCACAAAGAGTCACCTTCCCATTAGCATGCCTGTAAGCCTGTTTGGGTTATTCCTGACTGTAGGTGGCTGGCTATTCATATTGCAAAAAAAAATTATATTTTTCTCCTCAGCATTGTTTCATAGAAATGCAGGTGACTTAGTGGCTTTCATTATTATAGAAACAATCCAGATAGATCAGTATTAGATAGTTTTATTGATAAGCCATTGTATTTGTATTTCTGATTTACATTTTGCCTAAAATGAAAGATAGTTTTAAGAGGCAGTAAAAATGGAAACAAAATTAACAAAGAATTTTAACAGTAGATGTGCATTAGGGTCTTAGTATTATAATTAAAAACAGAATTTTATACTGTGCTTTCTAACATCTAAGATAAAAATCTCTCCTCTTGTAGGAGAAAACCCGTGAGCCTTTTAGTAATAAGCAATGGAAGTTCATTTGAAGCTGATTTCTGTAATTCACAGACCATTTTCTTAGTGATCCATTTGTAGTAGAAGGGCCTGACACTGGGCTCTGACATTGGGCATCTGGGATCCTGACACCACTGGTAGAAGAGAATTAAGCAAGTTTGTGTAACCTGGAGGACACACCCGCCTTTACTGGAAAGCTCTCACCACGGTATTCCCGAAACTCTAGATCCTCAAATGTTACTGTTTGCCACAAAGAAAGTATTGCCAAATAGGAATTCGGCAAAATTCAAGAGATTTCTTGAATACTGGATTTTTAATGTGCTGTTTAATAATATTTCCCAAATGTAGATGATCATGGAATCTTCCTGTTGGGAAGATATACAGTCTATAACTTCTGGTAAAGTAAATATTTTGGAATGTAGCTTAAGAAACACTGATCTAAAGGCAAATACATTAGATCATTAATTTAGTAAAAATACTTGAAGCATTTACTGGTATGTCTCAGGGATTGGAAATATGGAGCTAAATACAGAGACATATATAGCGATAAAGAGCCTGCCCTCCAAGAAGCTCTTGGTTTACATTGGAAGCAATACCACCGTTACAATATTCCATGCTAAATGCTGTGATAGAAGCAAAGATTTTTGGAACCAGTAATATTTGAAGGGAGTTTTGGAGATGACTAGAGTTGATGTGGTGAGGCAGAGGAAGGTGGCCTCTAAGGGAAGGAGCAGCGCATGGGAAAACACAGAGTGAGAAGGAAGAAGCTATTTTTAATTTACTTTCTGTTTTACACATTTAAGTCTATAGGATCTTATGTAAGGTTTCCAGTCCAGTTGAGAAATAAGAATTTTGTGAATTGTAAATCGTTGTTGGTGTATTACAGAATGACCTCACACCACTTCTATTTGCCGTAAGTGGAAAAAGACAGCAAATGGTAGAATTTTTACTGGAGAGAGGAGCAAATTTACTTGCAGTTGATAAGTGTCAAAGGTATGTTTTTTTTTTAACGCTCAGTGTGGTTCTGGAGTGAAAACAGTCAAGTCAGAAATATTAAATTAATAAAAAGATTAATAAAATTATTGGGATATAGTAAAAAATATAAACACAAATCATCTGGTGGAAAATTATTTGGACTGGGCGACATGAACAGTGTATAGTGGGATTCATCTTCTCTTCTTACACTGACTGGTGTTTGTTATTTGTAGTTGGATGTTTTGGGTCATATGATCTTGTATTAGCTACAGAGGTCTCCTATTAGTTTATTAGTTTATGGAGTGTGGACTTTGTAATTTTTACTTTACGACTTGATACTGAATTTCTTAACCCTTTTATTAAAAAAATTCTCCTTCTTACATGATTTTCTTTAAACATGCTATGTTAAATAAACATGAATAGAGTTAAAAAGAATTTTGCCTTTTGGATAACTCTTTGCTTTATTTCTTTGAAAAATATTAATGTTAGATTATCTCTACATGACTGTGAATTGCCATAATCAGATATGTGGGTTTCCTTTTTCACTTCTAATGTATTTTGATGTTTTTTAAATTGGCATGGGCAGAGGGAGAAAATACAGGTTTCGGTGGATAAACTTTTCCTTTCACGAAGGCAGCTCATAGGTGGATGATAAAGAGAAAAGAGTTAAGCTTCAGATTCACACAAGACTGAGTTTAAATTTCTAGCTTTCCCATTTGCTAGGTGTGTGACCTTGGGAACATTACTCATCACCAAATATGTTTTTCTGTATTAAAAAGAGGATACGAATATATCCTTCCAGGGTTGTGTATGTAAGAAAGATGGTGTGTGTAGCATTTAATTCAGTGCCTAGCACATGCTTATCAGTATCAGTAACTGAAACCACTGTGACTACTAATATTACCATTGTTATTGATATTATTGTTTTTCAGCCTGCAGATAGTTCTCACTTATCTGACCCCTGGCTGATTTTGAATTACAGCATATTGGTCTAGGGAAGCAGTGGTGAAATCTTCACTTAAATCTTTGCCTACTTTAGATAAGTGACCTCAGCATAGTTTCTTGCTAATCAGTGGACTGAAAGTTAGTAACTTCTACTATGACATACCCCACTGGGACAAGAGACTTCCTCTTTGTCCCTTCCTTTTAGCCTTGGTGGTAATTTACAAAGATGAACACTTGAGCACCCAAGATGCTGGTGTCTGTTAGTACAAGTAAATGTTTAGTTCTACACGGATGGGCAAGCTATTAAGTTGGTAAAGTATATTGAATAAGCTTTTTAAATAGCTTTTTACAGTTCCTAAGGGAGAAGTTATCGCTCTGTCATTTTAGAACAGCGCTCATTCTCGCTGTGCAGTGTGGATCAGCGAACATAGTTAGCCTTCTTCTGCAGCAACAAATTGACATCTTTTCTCAAGATACATTTGGGAGGACTGCAGAAGACTATGCAGTTTTAAATCAGTTTACTGGGTAAGTGTTTACATTAAAAGGCTAGTTAACACCAAACTGAGGTTTAAAATAATTATAATGATTGTATTGTATACATCAGGTGAGATTTTATAGTTTGGTTCAGGTAGTTTTGGAGTGGCAATGAATTATTCCATGTCATTAGCCTGAAATCCAGCAAAAGGCCAAACTAGTTAAAAGTAGCAAAGGGTACAGGCTTCTTTATCTCAGGACTTTAAAGACCTTTATCCTTAGGGATCCCAGCATTGTCCATTTCATTCCAAGTGTAACCCCTGTGCATGAGACAAAAAATAGTGTCACAGCTTAGGGTTTTCTAATTAGGTATTTGGGTCTTGAAATGTCCAGTGTAGCAGAAAATGTTGTACTGTCTTCTGGGAACTGTCTCCTCTACCCTCTTCCTTGAATTTTTTCAGAATTTATGGGGTTCTTTAAGTTTCAGAAGACAATCCTCTTTTGCAAGTCAGAAGGAGGGAAGAAAAGGTCACTGTAATCATCCTGTTGTTTCTGCTGTTGTTTCTGTTGCTGTGTCATTGCACTGAAACTGGTCCTGCAGTCCAGTAATGGTTGACCTTTGCCACCAGGATGCCCTCAAGTCTTCATGGTGATCCATACATAGATTTCAAAGCTAAACTTTTTTTGCTTTACATACATATGCTCAGGCATTGTTCCCAGCATCCTGCTCTGGCAGCTGAGCCTCCTAGCATTATCCACACACATAGTGAGCCAACCGACCCTTCACCCCTCACTCAGAACCTAGGTGGAGCCAACATCTTAGCTTAGACTTAGCCAAGACCTTTATGTTAAGTTATCCTTTAGGCCCTCTGGTTCAGTTCAAATAATGTTGCAGAAAGAGATGAGTTTCCTTTTTTCATTAATACCAGATCTGTACGCTGAGGGCCCTGTATATCCAGTATAGTACCTTTTCTTAGATCGTGGAAGGTCCCATATTATTTTTCCCAAGAGTTGTGGCAGGAAGCCATCAGCAGAATTCAGAGTCTCAAGTATGTTAGTTGGATTTAACAAAGCTAAGCCTCATTCATGACTCACGAGTATCCATGTAGAAAAGGAGAGTTTTGTACTTGCTTCACCAGCAAATATATGCTAAAATTGAAACAAAATGCAGAGAAAATTAGTATAGCCCCTGCATAAGGATGATGCACAGATCTGTGAAGTGGTCCATATTTTGCACCATCACTGGAAGTTCATTTGACTATTTGCTGACTAGCTCCAAAGAAACAGTGTAGTCAAAGCAAATTGGGTGTAACCTAATATTAAAATTGTGATTTTCACCACAAAATATGCAGTAAGGTAATCTATGGAGTGAGAATTGAGCTGAGTAACATGTGGGATGTGTGTGCAAATATATTGTTAGTATGTATCTCAGAAATGAGAGAATGTCAACTTGTATCTCTTTCAGGGAACTGAAAAAATAAAAGTAGAATTTTGTTTTCTGTGTCAGCTGGAGGTTAACATGGGATTGAGCATCATTCTAACAAGGATCTGCCAATTCAGAGTTTGAGTCTGGAACAGTAGTTCAAGCTAGGTCTTGACATGTTAGCTTTCTGCCCTTAGTGTGATTGATGAGTTCAGTCATAGTGGACAGGGAAGTTATCTAGTTTGCTGAAATAATATATTTATTAGAAAATTTAGTTACAAAGTATGAAATAGTTGTGATGCCCTGAATTATAAGCCACAAAGAATGAAACAACTGATAAGCAAAACTAGGACTTAATAACAGTTTCAGAAAACTGCAATGGGAATTTTAGAACCTCTGAAAAAATACACATTGGGAGATAGTTTTGGCAATAAAGTTCAAGAACAAATTATTTTATTGCTTCACTGTTTATCTGAGCATTTTCAAAACATTATTTCATTAAATCTTTAACAACCTAGTGAAATAAGCCAGTAAAATCCTTGCTTTCTAGAAGAATACATTGAGCCTAAGAGAAGTGACTTGTCAGACAACAAGTAGCTGCTGATAATAGGGCTAGGACACTTTCCATTATGTCAAGCAAATGTGAGTTAATTTATACTGAGCTATACTCCCTTCAATTTAGGAGTACTTCATCTGTTTTCTTCATTAAAAGCTTAAAGAAAAGTTGGTAGAACTCGCAAATTAGGATATAGGATAAAGTTCTAATATTAACCCTAATATTGTTTGAAATACTCTAAAAATTTAATATATTTGGTATTTTTCATTTCTTTTAAAATAGTAATTTCATTTATTACATTTTTATCTATAGCATTCAGCAACTAATTTCTGAATATAAGGAAAAACAGACACCTGAAAGTCTTCCTCAAAATAACAATCCAGGTAAGACTTCTGACTGTGAATTATTTTTGGTGGTCCTATAGATAAAAAAGTAAGAGTAAAGAAGTTTTGATCATGAAAAGCAGTTTTTTTAAAAGCCCTGTGTGTGTAAGTTGCTTGTATATTTTTCTCTTAATTTCTTTCTTGGTAGGTTAGATTTCACAATAATGTAAAAAGTTAATTGCAGGTCATTTATTATCTCAAAAAATCTTGTCTGAAAAAAAAATTATTCAATTATGGTTCCTAAAATCCTATATGCTATCTTTGTATAAATAAGAAAAAGATACTTTTTTCATTGCATTTTAGGTTTGGGGGTACATGTGCAGAACATGCAAGATAGTTGCATACGTACACACATGGCAGTGTGTTTTGCTGCCTTCCTCCCCTTCACCCACATTTGGCATTTCTCCCCAGGCTATCCCTCCCCAGCTCCCACCCATCGCTGGCCCTCCCCTATTCCCCCAATAGACCCCAGTGTGTAGTACTCCCTTCCCTGTGTCCATGTGTTCTCATTTTTCATCACCCGCCTATGAGTGAGAATATGCGGTATTTCATTTTCTATTCTTGTGTCAGTTTGCTGAGAATGATGTTCTCCAGATTCATCCATGTTCCTACAAAGGACACGAACTCATCATTTTTGATTGCTGCATAAAATTCCATGGTGTATATGTGCCACATTTTCCCAGTCCAATCTATCATCGATGGGCATTTGGGTTGGTTCCAGGTCTTTGCTATTGTAAACAATGCTCCAATGAACATTTGTGTGCATGTGTTTTTATGGTAGAACGATTTATAGTCCTTTGGATATATACCTAGTAATGGGATTGCTGGGTCAAATGGAATTTCTATTTCTAAGGCCTTGAGGAATTGCCACACTGTCTTCCACAATGGTTCAACTAGTTTACACTCCCACCAACAGTGTAAAAGTGTTCCTATTTCTCCACATCCTCTCCAGCACCTGTTGTCTCCAGATTTTTTAATGATCGCCATTCTAACTGGCGTGAGATGGTATCTCAATGTGGTTTTGATTTGCATCTCTCTAATGACCAGTGATGATGAGCATTTTTTCATATGTTTGTTGGCCTCTTGTATGTCTTCTTTTGTAAAGTGTCTGTTCATATCATTTGCCCACTTTCGAATGGGCCTGTTTGTTTTTTCCTGTAAATCTGTTTGAGTTCTTTGTAAATTCTAGGTATCAGCCCTTTGTCAGATGGGTAGACTGCAAAAATTTTTTCCCATTCTGTTGGTTGCTGATTCACTCTAGTGACTGTCTCTTTTGCCATGCAGAAGCTGTGGAGTTTCATTAGGTCCCATTTGTCTATTTTGGCTTTTGTTGCCAATGCTTTTGGTGTTTAGGTCATGAAGTCCTTGCCTACTCCTATGTCCTGAATGGTTTTGCCTAGATTTTCTTCTAGGGTTTTTATGGTGCCAGGTCTTATGTTTAAGTCTTTAATCCATCTGGAGTTAATTTTAGTGTGAGGTGTCAGAAAGGGGTCCGGTTTCTGCTTTCTGCACATGGCTAGCCAGTTTTCCCAACACCATTTATTAAACAGGGAATCCTTTCCCCATTGCTTGTTTTTGTCAGGTTTATCAAAGATTGTATGGTTGTAGATATGTTGTGTTGCCTCTGAGGCCTCTGTTCTGTTCTGTTGGTCTATATCTCTGTTTTGGTACAAGTACCATGCTGTTTTGATTACTGTAGCCTTGTAGTATAGTTTGAAATCCAGTAGTGTTATGCCCCCCGCTGTGTTCTTTTTGCTTAGAATTGACTTGGCTATGCGGGCTCTCTTTTGGTTCCATATGAATTTCATGGTGGTTTTTTCCAGTTCTGTGAAGAAAGTCAATGGTAGCTTGATGGGGATAGCGTTGATTCTGTAAATTACTTTGGGCAGTATAGCCATTTTGATGATATTGATTATTTCTAACCATGAACATGAAATGTTTCTCCATCTGTTTGTGTTCTCTCTTATGTCATTAAGCAGTGGTTTGTAGTTTTTCTTGAAGAGGTCCCTTACGTTCCTTGTAAGTTGTATTCCTAGGTATTTTATTCTTTTTGTAGCAATTGTGAATGGCAGTTCATTCTTGATTGGGCTTCCTTTAAGTCTGTTGTTGGTGTGTAGGAATGCTTGTGATTTTTGCACATTGATTTTATATCCTGAGACTTTGCTGAAGTTGCTTATCAGTTTCAGGAGTTTTTGGGCTGAGGCAATGGGGTCTTCTAGGTATACTATCATGTCATCTGCAAATAGAGACAATTTGGCTTTCACCTTTTCCATTTGAATACCCTTTATGTCTTTTTCTTGCCTGATTGCTCCAGTACTATATTGAATAGGAGTGGTGAAAGAGGGCATCCTTGTCTAGTGCCGGATATCAAAGGGAATGCTTCCAGTTTTTGCCCATTCAGTATGATATTGGCTGTTGGTTTGTTGTAAATAGCTTTTATTACTTTGAGATACGTTCCATCGATACCAAGTTTATTGAGAGTTTTTAGCATAGAGGGCTGGTGAATTTTGTCAAATGCCTTCTCTGGGTCAATTGAAATAATCATGTGGTTTTTGTTTTTGGTTCTGTTTATGTGGTGAATTACCTTTACAGACTCGCATATGTTGAACCAGCCTTGCATCCCCGGGATAAATCCTACTTGATCATGATGGATAAGCTTTTTGATGTGCTGTTGCAATCGGTTTGCCAGTATTTTATGAAGATTTTTGCATCTATGTTCATCATGGATATTGGCCTGAAGTTTTCTTTTCTTGTTGAGTCTCTGCCGGGTTTTCGTATCAGGATGATGTTGGTCTCATAAAATGAATTGGGAAGGATTCCCTCTTTTTGGATTATTTGGAATAGTTTCAGAAGGAATGGTACCAGCTCCTCTTTGTGTGTCTGGTAGAATTCGGCTGTGAACCCGTCTGGACCTGGGCTTTTTTTGTGTGGTAGGCTCTTAATTGCTGCCTCGACTTCAGATCTTGTTATTGGTCTATTTATAGTTTTGGCTTCCTCCTGGTTTAGGCTTGGGAGGACACAGGTGTCCAGGAATTTATCCATTTCTTCCAGGTTTACTAGTTTATGCGCATAGAGTTGTTTGTAATATTCTCTGATGATGGTTTGAATTTCTGTGGAGTCTGTGGTGATTTCCCCTTTATCATTTTTTATTGCATCTATTTGGTTGTTTTCTTTTTTTTTTTTATCAGTTTGGCTAGTGGTCTGTCTATTTTGTTGATCTTTTCAAAAAAACAGCTCTTGGATTTATTGATTTTTTGAAGGGTTTTTCGTGTCTCTATCTCCTTCAGTTCAGCTCTGATCTTAGTTATTTCTTGTCTTCTGCTGGGTTTTGAGTTTTTTTGATCTTGCTCCTCTAGCTCTTTCAATTTTGATGATAGGGTGTCAGTTTTGAATCTCTCCAATCTTCTCATATGGGCATTTATGGCTATATATTTTCCTCTGGAGACTGCTTTAAATGTGTCCCAGAGATTCTGGTATATTGTGTCTTCGTTCTCATTGGTTTCAAAGAACTTCTTTATTTCTGCCTTCATTTCATCGTTTATCGAGTCAACATTCAAGAGCCAGTTTTTCAGTTTCCATGAAGCTGTGCGGTTTTGAGTTAGTTTCTGAATTCTGAGTTCTAACTTGATTGCACTATGGTCTGAGAGACTGTTTGTTATGATTTCAGTTGTTTTGCATTTGCTGAGCAGTGCTTTACTTCCAATTATGTGGTCAATTTTAGAGTAGGTGTGATGTGGTGCTGAGAAGAATGTATATTCTGTGGATTTGGGGTACAGAGTTCTGTAAATGTCTATCAGGTTTGCTTGTTCCAGGTCTGAGTTCAAGCCCTGGATATCCTTATTGATTTTCTGTCTGGTTGATTTGTCTAATATTGACAGTGGAGTGTTAAAGTCTCCCACTATGATTGTGTGGGAGTCTAAGTCTCTTTGTAAGTCCTTAAGAACTTGCCTTATGTATCTGGGTACTCCTGTATTGGGTCCATATATATTTAGGATCATTAGCTCTTCTTGTTGTATTGATCCTTTTACCATTATGTAATGACCTTCTTTGTCTCTTTTGATCTTTGTTGCTTTAAAGTCTATTTTATCAGAGGCGAGAATTGCAACTTCTGCTTTTTTTTTTTTTTTTTTTTTTTTTGCTCTTCATTTGCTTGGTAAATCTTCCTCCATCCTTTTATTTTGAGCCTTTGTGTATCCTTGCATGTGAGGTGGGTTTCCTGGATACAGCACACTGATGGGTTTTGGGTTTTTATCCAACTTGTCAGTCTGTGTCTTTTGATTGGTGCATTTAGCCCATTTACTTTTAGAGTTAAAAGGTATTTTTAAGTTAGTAAGTTATATGTTTTCTTTATGGTCACATTATAATGAATTAGACTTGATATGAAATTGGAACTTTTATTTAATTTTTAAAATAAATGGCTTGTGTTTAGTAAATAAATATCAATCACAGTTGACCCTTAATATCATGGGATTTAGGGATGCTTGATCCCCTCTGCATTCAGAAATTTGTGTATAACTTTTGACTCCCCCAAGAAGGTGACCAGCAGCTTATTGATAACATAAACAATCAATTAAGATGTGTTTGGTGTGATGTATGTATTAATATGCTGTATTCTTACAATAAAGGAAGCTAGAGAAATAAACTGTTATTAAGAAAATCATAAGAAAAAGTAAGTTTACTATTCATTTAATGCAAGTGGATCATTATGTAACTCTTAATCATAGTCTTCAAGTTGAGTAGGCTAAGGAGGAGGAGAAAGATTGGTCTTTGCTATCTGAGGTGGGAGAAAATCTGCCTATAAGTAGACCCCTGCAGTTCAAACCTGTGTTGTTCAAAGGCTTACAGTATTACATAGTGATTTGTGTCACTCAAGTAACACAAAGTAGTTTCAAAACTGGAAAATTAACAATGCCTTTCTGGCACCATAAACAAATGGCAATAAGAACTGCAAAACGGCCGGGTGTGCTGGCCCACAGCTGTAGTCCCACACATTGGGAGGC